CAAAATGACAAAAGACAGATTAGCCGCACTTCACGCCGCTCAATCCGATGACGAGGAGTCTGAGGAAGTGGCGGTCAACGTGGATGCCCATGATTCCTACATGGATGAGTTCTTCAAGCAGGTGGAGGAGATACGTGGCATGATCGATCGGGTGCAAGACAATGTCGAAGAAGTTAAAAAGAAGCACTCGGCTATTCTATCCGCCCCTCAATCTGATGAGAAAACCAAACAGGAGCTGGAAGATTTAATGGCCGACATTAAGAAGAATGCGAATCGCGTCCGTGGAAAACTAAAAAGCATCGAACAAAATATCGAGCAAGAGGAGCAGCAAAACAAATCGTCCGCCGATTTGCGTATACGCAAAACACAGCATTCAACGCTTTCACGAAAATTCGTCGAGGTGATGACAGAATACAATCGCACGCAGACGGATTACAGAGAGCGCTGCAAAGGCAGAATACAACGTCAGTTGGAGATTACCGGCCGTGCAACGACCAGTGAAGAGCTGGAAGACATGCTGGAGCAGGGCAACCCAGCCGTATTCACGCAGGGCATTATAATGGAGACGCAACAGGCCAAACAAACTCTGGCCGATATAGAGGCTCGTCACGCTGATATTATGAAGTTGGAGACATCGATCAAAGAGCTGCACGACATGTTTATGGATATGGCTATGTTGGTGGAGTCGCAGGGCGAAATGATCGATCGCATTGAATATCATGTGGAGCATGCTATGGACTACGTGCAGACGGCAACTCAAGATACAAAGAAAGCGCTCAAATACCAGAGCAAGGCGCGCCGAAAGAAGATCATGATCCTGTTATGTTTGACTGTGTTGGGTCTCATAGTTGCTTCATATGTTGGCACAACTTTCATGTAAATGCAATTACATTATTACTATTACATACATGTTTATTATTTATTACATACATACATATAGTTACAAAGAAAAGTATAGCAACAAAGTAATAACAATTATTATAACTAGTTATTATATAGCTCTTGTGTCGCGCGCTCCAAGTAAAAAATATTCAAAATATGTTGCTAAATGTCACAACAACAAAACTCAGCATCAGTCTGCTCTGATCGGCTGCTGCTGAGTTGCGAGCGATTTAGAAAGCGATTAGAGTATCTAAATACAAATGCCATGCGGCCGTAAATGCTGCCAATTTGTAAGCTGCTTTTGCGGCCTATTTGGAGAATAATTACTTAATTACCTAATTTATTGATTACAGGCTAAACAAAAGTAATTATAATGTATTTGCTATATTATGAAATCTAATTGATTACTGTTATAATGCGAAGCAACCACAATTTAAAGCGTAAATATAAAAAATACAGTGGTCGTCCAGTATAAAGAATGATATAATGTCTGGGTTCATACGCTATATCGAAAAGTACGTTATAACGAACTAAAGTTTTATTGTGAGATTTCAATAAAATCAGTCTATATATTACATATGAGCCCCATATTGCAATTCCCCTTAATGTGTTTACGTTTATAATTTTTTCACCTAATAAATAACAAACGTTTACGTGACGGAGGTATTTTTCCAGTTCAATAACGCGACCACTTGTAAGAAATTATTCTTTTAAACTGATTGTAGTTCCACGTACGCAAAAATCATGCAAAATCATGTCATTTAATCACACAAAATAAAACAAGCGTTCGTTATTCAGCATACTCCTTTTTTCAACCGTTCATTATTTAGAGTAATCAATACATTTAAATAAGGCATTCGTTATTTGGAGCGGTTGTTAAACTGGACGACCACTGTACATAAAAAAATAAATAAAAATGCAAAAAGTAAGAAAATGAAACGGCAAAATAACAAAAGTTGCATGCAAGTGCAGAAAAACCATAAAAATTTTCAAAGTAAAACTGCATAAACATATGTAAATGAACAAAACAAAACATTTAAAACAAACTATGTATTGTACTTTCCAATCTCTCTCGTAATTGTTGATAAGAATTTCCGGTCAAAAGTTTAGTAACAAATCAGTTGAAGGTCTTTTCATTTTGCTTGCTTTTGAGCTGCAAGAAAAAGCAAAAGCAAAGAAAATGTTTAAAATATTTAAAACAGAATCGACGCTGAGAGCGCATTTACAAACAATTTTAAGAATAGCATCGCATTCACGCAATTTTGAGTTGATACATATATATATATACATACATACCTATAGTTTGAATTTCTTCGAAATCTCACATTTATGTATTATAAGAGTAGTTACACGCTATGTAAATTTACTTACATATTTATTGCATATTTCTCTAGTTAACTCTTATATAGCAAAAATTTATTATTAAAGAAAACAAAAAAAAACATGCTAGAACAAACAAAAGAACTACTTACTTATTAAAAGCATATATACATATAATAAATATCTCTATATAAAAATCTCTTTATATATTGGAAAACTCAATTGAAAACAGAAAGAAATAAAAGAAGAGGGAAAATTTAAATTAAATTACAATTAAATTAACGTAAATAAATAATCGAGGAAAACACGAAATCCCAACATACATGCATACATACATATGTACAAATTGTATGTATGTACATACACGAAACACCTAGCTGCACATGTGTAAAAAGTGCATTCACACAAAAGTACTTGCATATGTAGCAGTAGTAAAAAATATAAATAAAAACCAAATAACTCAACACCAGATAAGTCTTAATACCCATCAAAAAATTGGAATCATTTTCTCTTACTCATACTCGTGTATGAAAGTCTGTAAATATTTTGTAAAAAAAAAGTAATCACTTGAGTTTTCCCACTGCTATTCAGGTACCTAGTACATACAAATATGCATATAAATACATAAATACAAATTTATTTGCTTGATTATTTAGTTGTGTGTAGATAAGATTACGCTTTCAAATGCTTGCGTACTTGAGTTATAAACAGAATTTTTGCAAATTGCTTTTATTTGTTATGATAAGCACGCACGCTGAAATGCAAAAAGACGTAACAAACTTCGTCGTTGAAATGCAAAAAGTCATAACTAATAAAAAATTCTACATTCACTTTTGATTTATGTGGTGGAGATCATCGAATTACAACTCTCCACATCATTTTATGACAAAAAAAAAAAAATTAAAAGATTAGTCACGACCAAGGCACATTAAACAGGTAGTATCAGTAGAGCAAAAACAACATTTGCGTGTATTTTGTTGTTGCTTCTGGTATCGAAAGTGTCAAGAACTGTTCTGAATTTTTTCTTCTAAATCAAAGCGTGCCATGTGAAATACAAAAAATTATAAAAAATAAAAAATTGAAATGGGAAAAAATAAAAATTGATGCAACTTTCTTTCCTAGTAAATTTGTTTGCTTCTCGAAGCATTGATCCATCCTTTGCAAGGCCCGGTAATCAGCGGTTATGCTGCTGAGTTGGGCGAACGTTCCAAAAGCTGCTATTCAATCGCGTGTTTTGTATGGAAAAAGGTTTCACATGCAAATGGATTTTAACAATTCAGAATTTTTGTGAGAAAAAATTAAAAATATTTGACATTTTCGAGACCAAATAATTTGAAAATAAATCAAATCAGCTGCTCTACTGATACTACCTGTTCAATGTACCTTGGTCACGACTTTTTCGAACGAAAAGTATAATGGCCACTAGGGTAAAAGTAATAAATAGTTTTTTTTTTAAGTGATGTTTTAAACTGTGTTCACTGATTTTATGCATGGCATACATTTAATATCATTAAACAAAGCTTTTGCTTGCTTGATTAGATATTTTAACAAAAATTATTCGCATTAAGCAATAACTCTAAAAATCACATTTTCGAAAAAGTAAAAAAAGCTATTCAAATTGATTTTTAATGCAAAAGCTAAAACGTATGCCCTTGAAGTGGAAAAGAACTTAGAACACTGCTGTGGGGAAAATCGATGAAACGGAGGTCATAACGGACGTGACAAAAACAGAAGTGGTTTCAGAGTACATGCAAAAATAAGGAAAACTCTGCGAATCCTGTGTGGTTTTCTTTTCCTAAACATTCTTTAAATAAAGACAAATTACGGACGATTACAACCAATTCATTTTTAATCAGAAGTAATTCGTTGTTGGTTAAAATTTGAATTAAAATGTGATAACGGACGTTATATATCGGACGTGACAATATACAATATTTTTACCAGTAATACATGTACATTACCAGTAGTACATGTACAATTTAATTTTGTATTTAATTTTTTTTTCAGTTCTTTATTTAACCGTTTCGCGTTTTCGTAACTTTTTTCGCTATCTGAATACGAAATTTAAAGTTATAAAGTCGTTTGAACTCATTTACGTGCATTTTCGGTTTACATTTTTATGGAAATACCCAAATGGTAAAGTTTTTAACGCATTGGGTTTTCGTAAAATTGCTTATTTAAAGCAAAGTGGCTGTTAGACGTAGCCAGTGCAAGTAGTTTTGAAAAGTCTGCCAAACTCTAGAATTTCCGAAATTAATTGCAAGAGCAGTTACACCTTGCTCGTTTTCCGAAAATAGAGCTTTCTGATGCTTGTCTGTTTGCACGGTGCATGCAGAAAATTCCGATTTTAACTGTGTTGCCAGACATTTTAATGCTTATAACAAAATTAATGACCTGACAAATTTACTAAATTAAAATAAAAGTATTTTTGTTGATTTTTTTTTACATTTTTGTAAATTTGCAAAAAACGCTTCACACGGCAGAACTCGATTGGTTTGACAGCACTTCCAACAAAAATTTTGTATGCACATACTACATATTGCATACCTAGATCCAAAGTGCGGTGCGATCAACTCAAAAAAAAAAAATTTAAATTAGGACGATTTTTTTTTTTGTATAAATCAATTTATATACCTACTTAAATTCAGGAATGCAAATATTTTTTCCCTTCATGATTAAGTATACTAACTAAAAACTACTGTTATACCTATTTGTGTATTAATTGCGTTGAACCTGTATGATCCACAAGCAGTTATGTATATTTCCTGATCTGAATTTTGAGTAACTATTTTTCAAGATTCACAGATGTGAACATCATTCACCAACTAATTCAGAGCACATTTGAAAGCGTAGTTATTTAATCCAGCCGAATCAATATTTTAGTATTAAAACGTTATTTCTTTCTTTTGGCTAAAAATGCTCGCATTATTAAGTGCAATTGCTTTCGTTACTATTGTAGTTTATTCAAACACTAATTTATTCCTTATTAACTTGGAATCTACTAATTCTAATTTACTACCTTATTTCTAATTTATTTACCATAAATACAAATTTTTCTATGATATCTTTAAAAATTATAACGCTACCACAATCCCCACTAACCACAATTACTTTATAATACTCATGATTATTTTGTTTATTTTTTCTTCTTTTTATTTTAACTGTATTTTTGCTCAACTTTACTTTGCGCGCCTGTTGTTTTACATAACATGCAATAAATTTAAAAAAAAAAACCTAAACAACAAAATTAAAAAATGGGCACACTTTCACCTAAAACAACAATGGCCACAATAACGTCACACCGCATCCCAACAACCACCTAACATCTACAACAACAAACACTCATGTTGGATTATTAACACTGCATGCCCGTATTTGTACGTTTGCCACATCCCACTTATTTTTTTGCTGCTCTTCAAACCAACAACAAACAAATGCTTTTAACTATTTGCTTTAAACCAAAATCTGGTAAAACAAAAAAAAAACAAAACAAAAAAAAAAACGCTGCCACATGCTGAAAAAACACTTATGTTCTTATTTTCATTTAAACAATAATAAAATAAAAATAAAATTGTTTTAATTGCAAATTAAAAATATGCTACAAATTTATAGCATCAAATCGAAATCGTAGTGCTTGAAACTATACCAATAAAAAAAGTTACACATTTGCCACAGCTGCTTTTTTGTACTTATATTTTTGAATCCTAATTTTTGACATCGCATTTGTATGTTTACTTTTTGTTCAACTGTTGATCAGCCCATTTCATAAACTTAGCGAGAAAAATAGCTCGTAATGCCTGCTCTTGCTCGGATATTACAAGTAGTACATACATATAACTAAGCGGATAAGTATGTTTCGTATGAATGCATTTAGCGCAATTAAATTTATGAGCACGCATCCATGAACGCCCCAACTGTTGCAGTTTTTATTTTTTCATTTTTGTGGGCGTGTCACTTAACGAATGGCAAATGGCATTTGTGGTGATCTCTAACAAATGCTGAACATATTCCAAACACCTATGTACCTCTCACTCTCAAATGAAATTGCAAGCAACAAAAAAAAAGAGCATATGTATGTTAATAACGAGAAAAAAAGCAAATCAGCAACTAAGCGCACCAACAGGCACCTCTGAGTTTCCGTTTCCGTTGAGCAGCACCATTTTCTACTTCTTTCATTCAAACACCAAATGCACTGCAACTGTTTGTAATTGCAATCAACAACAACAACAGCAAAGTACCAGCAAACTACAACCAATGCACTGACGCTCGTTCTAATGCAAAAAAAAAAAACAACTAACAAAATATTAGCCACTCTACGTAATCTTTTTTAAGCCTCCTCAACTAACCGCCAAAGCATGCAACTAATGCACGCAGAAAATTTTGAAACAAAAAATAATAAAAGAAAATGCGCATCACAGCAATCGCAATAGCCAGTAAAAAAAAAAATAATAATAATATGTGCATGTTATGCGGCTTCTTCGTATTATTTCAATCAATCAATACAAGCTACAAACCAATGTACGATCATCGCCATGAATGAGATCACAAACGCCAGCGACCCACCAACCACTAACCCCCAACCGCCAACGAACTCCAAAGCTGCAAAACTGCTTACAAAATACAAATTTTCGCCAGAGTCAACGATTAGCTGCGAAATGCTTGAGACCAAATACATAATTAAATGCCATTGGTAAGTATTAATGAAAAGAAAACGAAAAATGCAAATGTTAAATGAAATTTATTACAAAGCAGGCAAATAAACCCGCTGACTAAAGCAACTTATTCGAAGAAATATAATTAAAGAAATTTTGTGCGAAATTCTAAGTATTTAATGCATAAAGTTGCTATGTGTCAGAGACCTTGTGGAACAAACGTTTTTTCGCGCGACTCAACAGAAAATAATTTTTTAGTTGAGTTTCTGTTTTTTGTTATCATTTGTTAAATTTGATATATATTTAGTAAAACAGCTGGTGGCCTAAACAACTTAACAATGAATAAAAAGCTCAGTTTTCTTAGGATTTAAATAAATTTTCACTACTTTCTGTAAATATCACAAAAAGTTACATATATACTATACAAAACAACTGTGTTAGTTAACTGTAATGTCAATTACCTACACGACCTAATTGTTTTTGTTTTTCCTTATTACATAATCTAGCTTATCCATAATTATAGCGGTGCATATGTACTCTTAACTATCAGCCTTCATGCCGCCTATCATAAATATGTGATGATTATTTACCTATACATACATACATACATACATATGTGCGTATATGTACATATACATATATGTATAATTATAATGATAACTTTTAATTTATGCGAATAGTAAATTTTTGTGATTTTATTATTTCCGTCAACTTTACTGTTTGTTTTAAGTATTAAATTTAACAGGCAATTATTTGTAGCAATTACGACCAAACATTATACTTAAGTACTTATATCATACAAAATCAAAAACAAAACATATGCTAATTTGATATTATTGAATTTTGTAAATTTCATAAAAAGGATTTGTATGAGTATAAACATAAATTATAGACATGACTTATCGATAACAAGCAATATGAACTACATACATAAATGTAAAATTCCATATTTCTTAAAATGTAATTATGCAATGATTTAGAAAATTCAAAAATCGTTTTCTAATAAAAGTTTGCCTTAGGTCATTTGTTAAGTAAAAATCTCTTGGTATTTTTTATTTCAACAAAATTCGGAGCTGAATTTGAATGTATGTGTGCATTTCGCGTGGATGTGTTGTTGTTTTTTGTTTAGCGGCATTGATGATTCGAGATTCCTTGGCCGCGTATACGATCTATGGCATTGAGTTCAAATGCGTACATGCTGCATATGTACATACATAGTATGTATGTTTTTGTCTTTGTGTATATTTTCTATTATTCAGTGGTTCATAATGTTTACGCCCAAAAAAAAATCTTTAAAAAATATATAAAGTTCCGCATTTTCTATCGGTGTTTTCTACGCTTTCAGTCAATTCCGGTGAAATTTTAGAAGGGGGCATAAGTCCCTGGATTTCATCGAATTCGAATGCAAATACAGCAAAAAGAAACAAATTTTGAATAGAAAACAAATAAAATTAAAAAAAAAATAATAATAATTTCAAATTCCAATTAACAAAAACTAAAAGCTTCCCCATTTTTCTCAATGCAATTTTTCTTCAGAATGTTTCCGTCTTTATGTTATCACTACAGGAAAATAGAAAACCAAATACATAATAGCAAAACCACAACATCGGCGAACGGCAAATTTCGCCCAGCAGAGCGATTGCGACGACCAACATTCGCCCCCGGTTGATTCGCTTACTGAAACACATATGAAGGTTTCAAGAAGGAAGCTTTTACAACGAAAAAGGAAAATGCCAGCAAGAATAAACCTAAAAGATAAAAACTGCCATCTCGGGAGAATTACGAGAACATTTAAAGTACATACATATGATCATCATGGTCTTTTTTTTTGCTGTTGTCGCTGAAAAGTCGTCGAGCGAACGTCGTTGTTGTTGCAGCAGCTATTTACTAAACCCTGCCTAGGTTGGGTTTTCCCTCTTTCGTTGCGCCAAGTTCAACTGACGGAAGACCCAGGAAGTGAGCAACTCCGGCTGGGTTGGTCCATAGGGACAGGGGCGTTAGTTGGGTGGGGTTTCGGGGGCGTGCACAGAAGTGCCGTGAGTCATGAGGTAACCCTCCGCCTGCCAGAGTGGTTGTGCTCCCATGCAAGTCGGTTCGTGTAGGTGCCTTCTGGTGTGCCAAGGCGAGGGCTCTGCTGCTTCGTCTGTAACTTGGTTCAGGTATTACAGCCCATCATCTGGGAAACTTGGGATTCCATAATTCCTTCGTAGCTACATGAGTTCTTTGCTGTTTGCTTGGTATTGTTAGTCATAAACGTGGACTAATAAACTAGTTTTTTTTTCTTCAACTTTTTGATCTTCCCCTATAATTATAAAATATCATTTTCATGTTGTGTGGGGTGTTTTGCTACTTGTTTACTTAAATTAAAAAAATTGATTTCGGGGCTTTTTTACTCAAATCAAAAAATTTAATTCGGTATTTTTTACTTGAATTCAAAAATTTAAATAGGCATTTTTTATAGTAGAAATGGCGTAATAACTTTTCTAAAAAAGTTCTTTACATGTTGCTGATATAAAAAATTACTTTACCTATAAAATAAAATGCATTACCGGCATAAAAAGTATAATTTTGTTACTACCAGCGCAGTTATTTATATGTACACTGCCGGAACAAAGTATTGGCACAGCAAATTTTTCACAATATATGCAAAAATTTTTTTTCTAATATTTTTCCGCTACTTTTGTATAAAAATATGGTTCATTCAACCACAAAAAGCATAAAAATAAAATTCCGAAACACTGTGCAAAACTCGCGAAAATTCAGCTAATTTTCATCAACATTTTAAACTTTTTTTTCATATAAAGTATTTTTGAAAAAAAAAATATGTATGGAAGAGACAATGTGAAAAAAATTGCCAAAAATCAGCAGTAATTCCTAGCTACTTAAAATTTGCACTTTATTAAAATGAAATTGAAATGAAATCTGCATACCCAAAAAAATATAAAAAATCTGATTAAAAAGTTGAAAATTTTGATGAATATTTGCTGAATTTTCGCGAGTTTCGCACAAAGTTTAGGAATTATATTTTTATGTTTTTTGTTGTTGAATGAACCATATTTTTATACAAAATTGGCGGAAAAATATTAGAATAAAAATTGTTGCATATATTGTGAAAAATTTGCTGTGCCAATACTTTGTTCGGACAGTGTAGCTGTTTATTTATGTTACTTCCTTTTAAATTCAATTTGCGGTATTTTGTGTGAATTGAAATTCTTCAAAACTCGCTATTTTTCACTTCGGTTACCTAGTTTTCCATTGACAACACATACATAGATACACACATACATACAACTACATACATACTGTAACAGCAAACAAAAAAGAGGAGAGTGAAAAGCTCCCGTCAACCTGTCTCAAAGTCTGACTTCATCGATATGATAAATTAACACGATAGCTACACAAAAAAATAAAAATCCATTGAAATCGCAGTCAACAAGCGACTTAAGATGCATTGTAAACGGTGCAAATGACAAGAGCAGACAAGAAAAAAAGCATAGAAATAATTGAAAAATTTAAGCAAAAAAGAGCGATTGCAAAAAATGACACGCCAACAAACCGCTAACAATGACTGGAACAAGTGCAAGTACGAGTAAATTTGTACGT